ATTATATTTCGACGTTACATTACGTTAATCCAATTATTAAATTACAAAATAAACCTACAGCCCTGTGGATGATACGGAACTAGTTCAATTAACTGATTATGTAGAGTAAAGAGATGAAAATAATATCTTGTAATATTATTACAAATAATTAATTACACGTTATCTATGTTCGGCATGAAGTATTTTACGTTAAACTATGTTACAGTTATAGCTGTTTTTATTTGTAAATATGCTGTTTATGAAAGATAACCAACAGTTCCAATTTTCTTCATAATTTGAAATAAATATTATTAATATAATTTTCTACAAATATTGAAAAATTCCTGTCTGTACTTAAATTTCACTCTATTTCTTAATATATTCATTGTTCAATTTTATAATTATCATCTGAAACTAAAATTGTATCATTGTTGTTTAAACTTTAATCATTATATCACTTAAATTTGGTTTAATCTTTTGGATCGATACTGAAAGAATTGAAGACGATAGTTGTTGAGATAATTACAAAAAATTAGATTTTTTACTCATGTCGTGAGTTGTAAAACATTCTCCTTACAATAATGACTATAAAACATTTTACTTATTATTTGTAACAACTTATTTATAGTATTTATGTGCAAAACGTCAACTTGACGAGAACTGTTCCGTAGTAGAATCTACATCAATTGAAATAACGATAACAACTGCCAAACAACAGAGTCCTGAGCGATATTTTTCGTTAATTAACGGCAAACCGTGGTAAATCGGGAGGCCGCAAAACTCTTTCTCGCGTTTCCTTTTAATAACATCGCAATTCCTCGAGAAGTTGGAAGCAGGTCACGACGCCCACGCCTTTTCTATCCCCGGGAAGAAAAGATTCACCTTTCCTCATATTTGCAAGATTACATTAAAAGCGGGGTAAAATTCCTCGGCATCCGTCGCAACGAGTTTCTATCCCGATTCAATCGATATTCAAAACTTCTTCAAACATTTCGTTACTCGCTTTAGTTGAGTAATACTTCTATGGAATACAGCAAAATGAAAAAATGACCAGTAAGGTAGCAAAAGATAATTCAATATCAGTTTTAATCGATTTTAATTGTTGCCCGAGGTGTTCGCGTAGTATATTACTTTTGTACCAGTCGTGTGAAACTCAGTTAATTGTTATGTTAAATGTTAATCTGTAATTAATTCAGATTCCCACTGGAGGAATTTGCAAACAAGAAGACTTTATGTATCGTATCCATTTATTCGTTTAAATGTTTTTTAATCTTGGCATTCCGTTTATCGTAGAACTTCTCTCTCTAATATGTTGAAGAGACAAAAAAATATTTAACGATACCTTTTACACTTTCGCATTGATTGAAGAAAATGAACATCCAAGGGGGATATTTAGAAAATTAAGTACAAATAATAAGAGAAAGAGGGCAACTATTAGTTTGGTGCATATGAAATGTCGTATATACAAATGAAACTTTAACTATAGTAAATATTTTTAAAACGTAGTATATTTAATCAAAATAGATTCTGTTTTTTTTTTTTTTTTTTATTTCAGAGAAATAATATTCTGCATTAGTTGTACACTCAAAGGGTAGAAAATGGTAATAAGAAAGTTAATTTACTAATGAAACACCACCAGTTTTGAATTTTGCAAACCAACGTTGAATTGTTTTGACGAAGAATATTTACGTTATTTTTTTATACGAGTGCAAATTTTGAAAAAGGATTTTGATAGTTGCTGAAAATATAACGGTAGCATTTAGAGGAGATATATGTACCCTTACTGTATTTGATGGATTGAAGAAGAATTGATAAATTTATCAATCCTTCTCCAATCAATCCTTCATCCAATCAATTGGATGTTCATTTTCTTTAATCAATTTATCAATTTATCCGTAGAGTAACTTTTCTGTAAATCTCTGTAAATGTTGCCTTTAGTGTATAAATTAAGATTAATGTCTCGAAATGTTTCAAAATTTCTAAACGATTTTGTTCATTCTCTTTTTAAAAACAATTTCTTATAAATCTTAAAACATCCTGTCATATATTGTACAATAAGTTTAAGATTTTAAACAATATTTGATATTTTCATGAAGTAAACAAAATTAATGATTAAACGAACTTACCAAGTGAAATTCAATCATGATATTATGATGCGTCTTTTCCTCTTCATCATAATTGTAGTATCTCTCATTTTCCTTACTGTCGCCACAAAGTTTAAAGCTTAGGGAAAAGTTTTTCCCTATACTACGCGGTCTCGTACGCTATACGATAGGAAACGATATCAGTTTGATCAAATATATTCCAAAACTATCACTAAACATATTTACCTCATGTTGATAGATCTTCAGAAACAAATTAGGTATAAATATCACTATCGGTAAAATAACTTTCCTTCCAGATTATTTATCACTGATGAAGACCTAACATAATTAAGGTCGAAGTTCAACAAACACTTTTAATGAAACGTCCACCCACACCAACGTTACGTAGACATATACATGCGGATTCTATGTCGTTAAAGAAACCTTCCTAAAAAAAACTAATTAAGATTACGTACACCTCGGACTACATTACATTTAAATGGAGAGGATCTAAACGGCACGTTTAAAATTCTTTATCTCTAATCTATACCGTAAACCGCTTACAAAAATTGTACTTCGCGCCGCGCCAGTAAAAGCAGAAATGGCTTAATTTCATCCTTGTTTATGTCTTTTACGGTGCCGGTACAAATTATGATTAAACGTCTACAAAACACAACCCGATTAAAGAAGAGCGTGGCTTAACCCCGACGTTGCGATTACAGATTACGCGGATTGCGTCATTTTCGCTAAGCGCCAACATCCCCGGACTGGTAAATTGAAGCGGAGGTGGCGTTTCCTGAAATCTTGACGTATAATAATCAGCGAAGCGTGTTATAGGAGCGTTTCGTCGTTTCTCTCTTATAGGGGAATGGCGAGACGGCGGAGTCCGATTGAATCAGCATGATTCCCACATTGCGTATTACCCGTTGCGTAACCGTTGAAGCCTTCCGCTATTTGCGAACACCCTTCGCCCTCCGAGTGCTGAAACGGATTCCTTTGAAGTTGATCGCCATCGAAGAAGTAATTCCAGCAACCAGCCTGGATGGCTGTCGTCTCGCCCTAGGAGGCACGACGGCGTGGGGCTACAGAGTGCTGAGAATGCTCTTTCTGAAAGTATCCCCTTCTCCGAAGAACGTCATTACCCCTCTTCAAGGGCGAATTAGTTTGTTTGATATACGTTTGAAATTTTAATTGATACTGACCAACCAGATTCACCGATCGTTTGAAGTTATCGCCACGTTCTATCCTTGGGAAGTTTATTTATGAGCATTTATTCACGGGTTTGGTGGTTAGATTCGTGCTACGTTATTTTAAATAATTTGAAAACTGAACTTATACGTCGCGGGTTTTTGGAGAGATTAATTATGGAGTAGAATATTCTCCACTCAAACCCATTCACTGCCAGGCAAGAAAGCGTATTGCTTTGATGTGTAGTCTAAGTTATTATTTTGATAATAAAAAGTGATATTAAATTTGTTATTTTAGAAAGAAAATTTACGATCTTCTTTTGCAACAATTCGTGACTAAAAAAGCGATAAACTTATCCCTTCAGTAATTGCAATCAATTTAAACTACGAGACATCTCGTTGTTGCCTTCGTGTTCAATTACTCTAACGAGATTGACCATGATATAGACGGTTATATTTTTGGTAGTTTTGAAATTTTTGTAATATAATTTGTGAGAAATAATTTAAAAACCTTAAACAAGAATATAACGAACTCTATTTTTTAACTCAAACTAAAAGAAAACTCCTTTAATCGCGTATTTGTTTCGAAGTATTAACACAAGCACTCTTTGTTCTCACCTCATCACTTATACTTATATTTCGCAAACTACACACTTGTATTGAGATTCTTTCTTAGTCACACGTCCTAATCGCTCTTTCCTAACACAACTTTGTACGATAGTTTCTCTGCAAACTTAATTAATGCCAGAAAACGTTCTTGCTTTTGAAATAATTTCAGAATTTATTTGTTACTACACATATGTACCCTTTATTTGTGTTCCTTGCATGTTTAATGTAGCTAAATTACATAGCGTGTAGTTTGGAAATAAGATTTTATCTACTCCACGAATTCTGTGGAAGCTAACGATAAGGTACAATAATTACAAGTAGTTATAATGTTTCAACCATTTTAATCTAGTCCACTACAAAAATAATATGTTCTCATTTTAACGGTATTCTTAGAAGCTAATATCAAAGTAAATGAAGGGTTCTTCAAATTGTATGAAGTATATTTCATTTTGTTTATTTAAAATGAAAACGTGCATGCTTACAATTACATGATGATGTCGATTAAGTGAAACCGCAGCTATGCTGCTAGATGTATTTTTAAATGAAAAACAAAAAAAGTCTCTTCTGGGAAACACTTTCTTACCCAAGAAGTAATACTCTCAGGTGATATTTCTGGCTGTTAACTTTTAACTGCATTCTTCCCCATGTAGTTCATATAATTCTTGCATTATATTTTTACTTAATCACTTCACATACGCGATTATGTCATGTTTTAAAAAGACAAATTTTCACATATATCGTGAAGTAAATTCAATCTAGTTTCAAATATTATGAGTTACATATAGTTATATCAAAACCATGTAAATAATCCATTACTATTGCCAAGAAAGTGTAAAAAAGTGTCACCTGAAACAAATGAAAATCGCTGTTTAAACAAGTCACAGCCACTAATTTATCGTCGAACTTTGATCAACAGTGTTTCCAAAATATGTTTCACCTTCGATTAGTGTAACGGTTAGGTTTGCAAGCCCAAATAATGGAGAAAACCGACCTCGCCGCGCAAGACAGAATTTCCCGCGTCGAAGTAAAATAGCTAGATCGAATATTGGCGAAACTAATTAGCCCACGGCACCGAAGGCGATGCTTTTGTACAGCCAGGAATAATGACTTGTTACTAAGGTGTATCGTCTTTTTGTTACAGATGCGAGGGTGGCTGGCTCCAGCTCGAAGGCGGTGCTCGAGTTTGCGGCCGCGACGAACGTTTCGGTCAACCCGTTGTCCTGTTTTCCGACAAACAGGTCCCTATTCTCCACATGCAGTGAGTATATATACACATTATCGATACTCTTTATCCGATTATGTACTCTTACCTCGCGAAAACGATGGAGAACCGGAAGTTCCGCCCATCGAATAAAACAAATTTATCCGATCCCTTTTATTTTCGACTCGTGCCTCCCGCGTTTCCGATGTATTAAATTCGCAAGGAAAATACTGAATTCCGATGTGGCTCGCGTTATTCCAGGATGTATAAAGTATTAACTTGAAGCAGAATGGGGCGGATTCGTTTTTAATTAAGAGAACATAGGGGTTTTTCTATATTTTAATATCGCTGGTGCAAGCTGCGCGCATGCATTGCACGGGAGTTACCGGTATTGATAATTTACGGAGCTTTTAATGCTGTAATAAGTTCAGTGGTTTTGCGTTAATAATTCTTGGTGCAAGAAAAGCAGGAAAGACGAAGCGTATTCTTTTATACGGTTTTCTTAGTTATAGCACGTTTCTCGGAAAATATTTCATGCTCTCGAGAAATATGATTCTATTTTCTTTTAAGTTGACGTTATAACAAGAAAGTCCAAATGAAAGTTTTGAAATATAATTCAGCTTCATAATCACAAGATTGGCACTTGTCATGAGTGAATAGTCACAACTTTTTGCTCACATATTACTTAAATAACGATTGATTATCAGTTTTATGGAAACCATTACTATTTACATGTTAATTCATACGTATTAAGTCATCTGTAGGAGTTACTATTGCAATTATAGGCATTTAATATAAATATTAATATAGGTAAAACAATATACAATACGAAAATAAATTAAAACATATTATGAATAATTAGTACAATAAAAATAAATTGTGTACAATGTAATTTGAACTCATGGATTAATTATTAATTACTTGCAAAGAGAAGAAATTGAAATTTGTGTGAAAACTTTTACTTATTCTTATTAAAATACAAAAATAAAATTATCAATATATTCATTATAGCATACAGGGTGTCCCAAAGTCGAGGAGGGGCCGGAAAGGGGAGGTAGCTGAGACGATTCTGAACAACAAATTCTTTTGCAAAAATGTCGGATGGGGCTTCGTTAAGGAGATATTAAGAGAAAACCCCGACCAATCAGAGCGCGCGTAGACCGTTGCAGCGGCCGCGGTAGCGAAGGCTACGCGCTAGGCGGCAGCGTCAATGTCCTTCGATGCACGTCGAGTCACTTGTTCGCGTACAAGCGTGGCCACCAGCACGTAGCCTACGCTACCGCGGCCGCTCCAACGGTCTACGCGCGCTCTGATTGGTAGGGGTTTTCGCTTAATATCTCCTTAACGAAGCCCCATCCGACATTTCTGCAAAGGAAATTGTTGTTTAAAATCGTCTCAGCTACCCCCCATTTCCGGCTCCTCCCCGACTTTTGGGATACCCTGTATATTAACCATTTGTAGATACAAGTGAAGGCGCAGTTGGAAATAGGTTAGTACATAATACGAAAAAATGTTGACATTTCATATTTACCAATTCTGTAATTATATTTAACCTTCATCAAGTATACTAAGTATACACTATATACTAAAACCCTTAATAAGTATTAACTATAATAGCATTCATCGTTGAGAAAGTTAGGAAGAATCGTATCTGTCATGTTTATCAACTTTGGTTTGCATAGTTTTAGCAGTTTCACAATACTGTAGAGATTACAATAGTTTTATTATTAATAATACAAGTAGATTAGGATCGTCTTTGATTAGGCAGATGCAGCGTAATACACGCGTAGGCAGACAAGTGGAATGTACCCGTATGGCATGGCTGGTAGAGCAATTATGTGAGCGGATAAGCAAGTAGAATAGGACTACGCTTGGACAGACGAATATTTTTTGTGTGGAAATTGGTAGGTAAATGTAATTTAATCACTTTTAATCAGACGGCTACAGGAAAGGTAATTTCTAGTGAATATACCTACTGTTAGACCTACGGAAAAGATGCCATTCGACTAACAAGTGAAATTAGATGCCTATCGTCAGGCAAGTAGAGTAAGTCGACCTTGGCCAGACACGATGCCTCTTATCAAATAAGTAAAATGGGTGTTTATCGTAAGTAGAGGAAGATGTCTCTTATTAGACATGTAGAATCAGTGACCGTAATCACACTATTCAAAGATGTCTTATGTCAAACGCGTAGTATAACTGTAGAAACGTGTAGAATAAATGTAAAGAATAATCGTTGTAACACATACAGCATGGGCGTTTATCGGCACACAAGTGCAGTAGATGTGCCTTGTAATAGATAAAATTACACGATACAGCTCCGTTTCAATTAGCCCATGTAGATGGATCGACGAACATCATTCAATGGGATGCTCCTCGTAGTTCTATACGCCACATGTTATGTACAAACTGTCGAACTGTAGTGGAAAAGTTCAATCGAAATGAATTGGAGGTTTGCAACATCGATTTAACATCGTTGCGCGGATTACCGTGGACGCTCGACTGCAGCTTCCGTAAAACGAGACCGACAATCAACGGGGAGAAGGGACGGGAATTCTATTTCCATTACGAAATAGAAACACGTCTCGAACTAAATGCTTCTTATTACTGTGAACCGCCAGCGATTCAGTTGGCCTCACGAACAGCGGGAACATTCGCATATCAAATTTTACCCGTTAAACACCCGCAGCCGTCGACTCAGAGAAATGAACTATCTTCTTCATCGCCCATACCGGTTTTAAAAAAGATGTCAATGTCAAAACGAATACCCTATGGCTCTAATTTTTCTTCGAGCGTTAATATTTCCCACGGAAAGAATTAAGCAAAAAATGGAAATAACTTCGTTTAAAGATACCTACTTGCGGAATTTACTTCTCCGCGAAGCCCCATTTCTTCGTAATTAATTGCTACTTTTTCCCTTTGTCCACTATTCACAAGGCGTTATCCGGCGTTTTTTGCATGCCTTCGTTTAAATGCTAATTAATTTAGCGTTCGTGAAACAAAAAGGTTTTCTCGCCCGCTACTGTTTCCAGAACGTAATTAATTTTTCGTCGATGGACGGTTTGTCTTCCTCCTCGATGGTGTGCGTTTTTCTGTTTGCGTGATTCTCCAAACTTTTTCTAGTCATTTTTATTAACACATTTTATTGAACAATATTATCACCCAACGTTCTTTATGGCTATATGGGTTTTGTAATTAGTTTTGATATGAAAATTGAATAGAATTAAATGTACATGAAATGAGTTGAGAATTGAACAGTTAAGACTAATGAGACGTACCTATTCTAGATGTCTTATCAGAGACGACGTACTCTACTTGCCTGAGAATAGACATCAGTTGTAGTTGTCTAATGATAGAAATTTATTTTACTTATGTGATGAGAGGCATCTATCTTACACGTCTGACAAGCGCCACCTATTCTACGTGATCCACGAGAGACAAGAATCAGCTAGTGAGGGGGAAAAATAATATCAAGAGTTAGAATATTACTGAAGTGACGTGTACTACAAATATGTAAAATATATTTGTTATATTTCACGGAATTCTGAGGATTGTCACGGTTCTCCGCGATGTTCCTACAGCTAAGCAATAACTCGTGATCTGAATAATTTATTGATAAAAGCGGCATGAAGAAGGCAGCACAGATGACGCGAGACAATTCGAGGCTTAAATATAAGACAAAAGGTAACGAATACCTCGATTGTTTGTGCTCTTTAATTGCCGCTCGAGAGAAAAGCAGAACCACAGAAGACTTTACTTCTCTGTGGACATTCTCTTAGAGGACCTTCGTTAAATATTTATGATGAAATCACCATCTGCGATATATAGGCGTTTGACTAACAGTCCTATACATAAAACATCAGCATTCCTTGATGCACCTTGGATTTCTTGTTCAAGGATAGCAACTTTGATTACAGTGGTTGAAAATAGTCTCTCGATTATTAATGTAAATTTCTTTGTTCTTTGTATCTTTAAATGAGGTGTTATTTATTCGGGAATATAATGAGTCTTGTATTCGGTGATTAGCTACGTAAAAGTTATGGAAAGACGTCAGTTCAGAACGACAATATCGCGCTGCAGGTGGTCATTAATTACAATTTATTTTATTTGTGTAATAACATTCTTCGTTTAAATTTGATATGGAGCCACATTAATGCTTTAATTGCTTTCATTATACTGTAAGCTCAATTTGTACGTGAATATTATTTATTAAACCTTCGTATGTCTTTCAAAATTGATTATTTTTTTAGAATATTATTTCAAATGCTTCAGTTGACAAGAAACAATTGTAATTGCCACTAGAATAGCATATCAATTTTCGATAAATGATAATATCGTTTAAACTATATATAAACTCATAAGTATAATTATTATAGAATAAATTGAAAAATTAATTCTCCACAGCAATTTCGATCGATTACTAATAAATTTGTAGGTGAAAAAGTTCATATCCGTTTTAATTTCAACACTCCTAAATTTTCAAAATATAGATAGCTTCATTTTCCTACGACCCTATCTGTAAAAGACAATATTTTTCCTTCAATCAAAATTCTCATCCAATAGAAAAATCATAATTGACGCTAAAATGGTACAACAATTTTTCAGAAATAAGAGTATCGTTCGATCATCTCCTTCCAGGAATAATTGTCACCTCGGTCAATACAACTCATCCAAAATTAATGACTTCTGTTTTCCATTTCGAATCCACACGAATCCCACGTTGATCTCGACCGCTGATTTCGATCTCTGCGGTCGTTCCGCGAGTGCGTAATCGACGCCGTGTTACTAGCTGATCCATCTCCATTCTAATCGCGACGATTAGCAATTTTAACTGGGAACCGACAATTTGCAGGGTGACTTCATCGTAGCGTGAACCCAGTCGCATTTCTCCAAAATAAATAAATCGACCTGATTGCGCATGTATGTGCTTCGGTCTCGGTTTTGCGGTCGCATCGGCCACGCTACGTTGATGCAACTGATCCAGGACAGTTTATCAATTTCATAAATGGCGGGCCAGCGATAATGGAGCCCGTCGAGGATGGACTTCATTTCCGTCG